ATTTAATTTGAGCTTTCGAATTCAAGTTAACTGCAATTAATAGTATTTATTAAAAACAAGCATTTAATGCAAAGACATTTAATAATACCTTAGCAAGTAAGCGGTTCAATCAGTGTTGCCAGATAAAAATGCAAAATATTTGTTTTGATATTATCTATCTATAGAACTACTATACAAACATTATATATGCACATAGAGTATACACAGATATCCCTAACAATGGACAAAAAAGTATGCTTTACTTTATTTACAACTGTAGTAAAATCTGAAAGAAGAGACAAGCAAAAAATTTCGTTTCTGCCGAGGACTCTTTGCTAATTCAATTGTCAGATGCAAAAATGATTGCGAGCGAAAGAGAGAATGAAAGAGGTGGAGTTGGAGATCGGGCGGGTCGCAACGCGTGTGCCTGACTGAATACGAATGCGGGTCAATTGCCTTGAGCTGTTAGCTGCCCCTGCCAGTGTCTCTATCGCCGTCTCTCTCTTCTACACATGTAAGGTTCGCAAATTGTGTCCATCATCAATCAGCAAGAAGTCTGATTCGCATACTTATTTAAGCTGAGAGAGCTTTTACTTCATTTGCATTGTAATTATCCATATACATATATATGATACACACATATGCATATTTATGTGTGTGTGTGTTTGAGAGAGACAATTATAATCTTTCTACGCGTGAACACAGACGTTTTGATAAGCTTCAGACGCTGCCGTGTTATTTATTTATTTATTTTTATTTATTATAATTTTTTTTTTGGCAGCCCACACTCTTTATCTGTCGCATTCGCTCTCTCTTGGAGATAAGTAAGTGTAACCATAACGATTCCAAAAAAAACAGACGCCCACCAGGTGCTATTGTTGTTGTTTGTTGTTAGAGGCTTAAGTCGGAGCAGACGTTGCCAGACTGACAGCAGCTTTACACTCACGCACAATGCGTGCAGCAGACGGGCGGCGTGAGAGGGGATGCGCCAGCTCGACCCTGAGTGAGCGAGCCAGCAGCAGGTTGTATGTGTGTGCTGTGTGTGAGAGAGTGAGTGAAAGGCAGACACCCGAAAATATTTAATATTTATGTAGGTTAGGAGTCGCACCAACAATGACAGCCAGCAACAAGGGCAACCCCAACAATGCTTGACATATGCACATTCAAACAAACATACATACAATCATACACACACATACACACCAGGTATGCATACGTACGAAAGCAATGCCGAACTGCAATCGAATACAAGCGACTGCACAATACTCTCCTATCTGTGATATGCAAAACTGTGAATAACAAACGACAGAAATTACGGAAATTAATTATTATTGCAATTATTGCTATTAACATATCAATTATATGTTAGATAAGAAATATCATTCTAATTAACATTCAATTTATGTACTCTACTTTATCATCGACAATTGGCAAAATGTTAGCTAGTTTATATATAGCCTACTTTTCACGTTGTGAGTAGTGTACAAAAATCAATTTCACTTACATGTTTTGTGCTGTTTCTTATTTTTCTGCATGAAGTCCGCGTCGACTATTTGCTATTGTTAATGTTTTTTTTTTTTTTTTTCTAATTCTTCTTCTGTTTTCTTTCTTTTTGCTGCGGCTGTGGCTGTGGCTGCTGCTGTTAAGCTTTGGCTTTGGCGCTCGCCGCGACGCACTCACACTTTGCGTGTTCCTTTTCTTCCTTCTTTTGCTTGCTTTGCGTGTTTGTTGCGCACGCCGCAAATTTGTTTATTTCCTTTTTACCTTTTGCACTTGCTGCCGTTATTGTTCTTGCTGTTTTTTTTTTTTCTTGTTGACTGCGCGGTTGCTTTTTAGTTTGTAACGGTTTTAATGTGCTTGAGCTGAGTTTTTTTTTTGTGTTGTTGTTTGTTTTATTTTGTTTGGTCTGTTTGTACTTGATTTCTTTTGGTGGCTTGTTCTTGGTTCTTGTTACGTATGTACGTACATACATATATATATGTATACATGCATAGGTA